GACAGTAATGTAAATCTCTGTCTCGTGGGTCATCCCCATGCAGCTCCTACAAATTAAGAGTTGTTCATCTCCTGCACCAACTCTCTTGGTGAAACCACAGAGAGAGACCTCTGCAGTAAGTTTACAGGACCAGGTCTACTGGAGGAATTGAGTTTATCATAGAAAGTCTGTGAAAAGTAATTTTTGTTTTGGATCAAAAATTTTTATTCTCAACTCACATAGACTTACAGTTTTATTTAAAGTCCTAAATATAGGTGAATTTTCTGGATTTTAAGAACTGAAAAGGCACATACCACCTAATATTTTATCATTTTTGTTTGAGCAGATTATAAGATAATTTCTGGATATTCAGTGATGATATTTGTCTTTTAAATTAACTTAAGAAATATATCTTAGACGTTTTACTTTATTTTACAAAAGCAAGTAAAAACCCTATGGACAAAAGATATTTTTCAAGTTTAGTTTTAAAATTTCTAACCACCTCATCTAGGAATAGTGCTTATCCTTACTCGAAGATGCCCAGTTCTTTGTGGGTTCAAGGTTGTTTTTTTCTAGCTTTAGTGATAGTACTGTTTGCATCTCCCTTTGTTATTTCCTGTCTAGGCCCAACTCTTTTTTATTAAGGATTTCTGCAGAAGCTATGGGCAAATTCCCTGCTTCCAGACACCCTTAGAGGCTGACGAGCCACGCCTTTATCTGGCTCTTGTAATAGATTGCAAAAAGCACTTGTTCATCAGATATTTTCTTCTTCTTTTTATTTGTAGATTTAGAAGTATTTTGGCAGGTGTACATTTGCATATAAAAGAGAATAAAAGATAACTTAGGCTTTTTCTTTCTCCTTTCTTCAACATCATCTCTCTCCTACCTCTCTCTATTCATCAGGTTTTCACTTTCTTTCTCTAGCTGTTTCTATTTTCTAGACACAAAAATATATATCAAAAAGGGAAAAAAATAGTCTTAGTGATCCTTCAGCACTGTGCAAGAAGGTGGAAGATTGGGTTCAGTCAGCTTATGTAACAAAGTAAGGACAATATGTTTATCTTATTGTGTCATCAGTCTGGAATAGACAAGGATAGATTTTAATCTCCTGGAGTTGGATACTACAAAGGATGGGACCCATTGCCATGTTTTATGATTGAAACTGCTATATTTTTCACTTTCTAAACTCAATCTTGACACAGATTCGAGTATATAATAGATGCTTGACTGAGATTCAGAACTGCAAGCTTGAGCACCTATGTGTATTTGTTTCTGTGTATATGAGAACATTCCAACTGAAAATAATTGAATCCTTTAGAAATGTCTGTTTTATCTCATTATTTTCACTACTCAATAGTTTTTGAGAGTTTAATATTATTGTTGGGAGGAAATATTTCTCTGGAATTCTAAGTTACAGGCTAGGAAGTGAAGCCTTTAATGATCACTCTGTTCTCAAATTTTATACTCAGGTTTACTTGTGGCTCATGTGTCTTTTACATCATGAAGTTGACATCCTGGCTGTTAGAGGAGAATATTTGAATTGCKTGAAAACCCCTAGCAAAAAGTATTCTCTTCAATCCAAAGAATCTGTAACCTGGTCCATTTAATACAGATAGCTACTTAAAAATCTTCATGTAACTGTTGCAGCCTCCCTTGATAATTTTCCAGGGTTTCAACCCTTTCAACAAAAAGCTTTTTTCAGCATCTAGCTTGGTATCCTTTGGCTGCAGTTTCCCTAAGTGTTCTTGTGCCACTTTTAGTAAACATAAAAATTATTTACTAACATCTAGTTTCTAGGTTGCAAATGTGTTTCATTTAGCTTGTGTAGTGTTTCATGTAAAGAAAAAAGAAAAGGCACAAGTCCAGCAAGACTAGGCCCACTTTCCCACCTGGCAGCAATAGGCTATAGCCAGGGAACAGCTGTCCCTGTGGACAGGGGTATGCCCCCAGCCTGCTACAGGGCTCTCCTTTTTCATTGTGTCCACCTGGACAGAGTCACTTCTTTGTGTACTTTCTTGGCCCTAAAAGGTATCTGCAATCATGGTACCCTTCCTGTCTGCTCCATTTGCAATATCTGTCTTTGAGCTCCCTCCCTTACCCAACTTTGTTTCTATGCAGACTGCGTATCCTTTAACTTTTGATTTTTTAAAATCAAACCCTATTAATTTTGTTTTTATTCTTTGGATCATCTCCTAATCCTTCATATGTTGTTTTGTGCAGTAATTATGACTAAAATAAAATAGTTCTCCATAGGGAGAACTATTTCAGTTCTGTTACATCTGACTCTTCAATCAGAATGTCCTGTTCCTGTGCTGGTTTGTGTCTCTGGCCCTGCCTCAATTCCTGTTAATTCCTCCAAGTGTTTGCACTTCATCTTTGTTCCTTGTAAACTTCACTTTGTCCTTAAATCATCAAAAAAAGCATGCACTGAGCAGGTAGTAAACGACATGTCCAGCAGTCCTCAGCCTGATTTTATCAACCTTTTACTCAGGACAGGGCCACTACATCCTAGATACAAATTGATTTTCTCTGGGCAACTATCAATGACTCTATGATTGGAGAAGGGCTACAGAAGGCTTATAGATGCAATACTGGAGAATCCTGGTTAGGAAAGGGTAGTCCTGGTGGGATGCGATAGGAGAGTAAGCCATCTCCCTCCAAGTCTATAGGTCAGCAGAAAGCAGACTTGGGCAGCCTTGAGGGAAAAGCCTGATGACTGGGCCTGAGTCCTTCAAATAGGAAAAGAAAGAGACCAGATAGAAAGTGTGGGGAAAATGAAAAGGGCCCATCATTTTCAGAGTGTTGTTTAAAGTCAATTCACTTTACACTGATAATTTTCTCCCTTTTCGACATTAGCATTATCTTATGTTTGGACAGAATGCTTAATTCCCCCAAATCTGAAATTATTTCATAAGCCTGACATTTCTCCCAGAAATCCTCTTCCGAAAGTTGGTGACACGGTTTTTACCAGTTTCTGAAAAGCAGGAGAGAGTCTCCCTGGAGTCAGATGATTTTTACCTTGAAATAATAGATAGGAATTGCAAACTCTGGTCTAGCTTCTAGGGGCCAGTAACCAGAATCTTTTTTTTTTTTTTGAAACAGCTACTTCCCTTTTTATTCTTTTTTTGATATTTTTATTTTTTAGTTGTAGTTGGACACAATATCTTTATTTTATTTATTTATTTTTATGTGGTGCTGAGGATCGAACCCAGGGTCTTGCACATGCTAGACGAGTGCTCTACCGCTGAGCCACAATCCCAGCCCCTCTTTTTTTAGTTTCAATCTTTGCTGTCTCTCTTTTTAATTTTTTTTAATATTTATTTTTTAGGTTTTTTTTAAGGTGGACACCATATCTTTATTTTACATTTATGTGGTGCTGAGGATTGAACCCAGTGCCTTGTGCATGCTAGGCGAGCACTCTACCACTGAGCCACAACCCTGGTCCCTCTCTTTTTTTAATTAAATAAATTTAATTGAATGTAGTAATAGCTTGTGGTTATTAAGATTTGGACTGTTTCCTAAGAGTTGAAAAAAAATATATGTATGTATATTCTTTACCTTTAAGTTCAGACATTCTAATTTTTCCTCCCCAAATCACTTAACAACACATTGGCAATAGTATGGATGTTAGGATCAATTGAATAGTGTTTCAGAGCCATCCTATTGGAGCCATACTTCCACCAGTAAATACTTTCTACCCTAGGCCACACTCACTATATTTTTCCCTAGATCTCATGATTTCCTTATTAAAGTTTTAAAAATATTAGTTCCATCACATCTAATTTATTTCACAATCCAGTAAACTAAAAAAGTGTGGCCTTAGGATTTCTTTTCTTCAGAGTTAAGAGTACCAGATCCGTAAGTATTTTAATTATTCAACATTTAGTATTCCCAAGTATGGTGCTCATTTTAAAGACTCATTTTTTAACTTGATTGATTCTCAGTAAAGCATACTTTATTCTTCAATGTAATAGTTTTTATTTAGTAATAAAGAAGTTGCACTTAAGTTCTTAAATTGAGCCAGCAAAAGCAGGAATACAACTGATTCCTGACACTGTCAGCAGTGGCCCTATTGAAGATGTAGACAAGGATGCTGTTTGTCTTATCTGTGCTAAAACTCTTAATTCTTCAGTTTCCATTTCATCCAGATGTCCTCAAGATGTAAGGTAATAGGAAAGGTTATAACACTCAGGTCCTTTTCATAATTTTTGATTACTGTTTTTCCCAAAAACCTTCAATGTAACTTGTAGCAAATGCCATTAGAAACCCTACATGGCCAAGGGCATCCTGAACCTGAGCCAGGTCTAGGCTGCTGCTGACCCTCTGGGCATTTGGCTTTACTCTCTTCAGATACCTTCCCTCTTCAATCCCATGGGGTTAAATCCTCAATTGTGGGACTCTGACCTTACCCTGTTGTCACTGTCCTTCCTGACCCTCTCACCACTCACCCAGCCCTCTCCCAGAACTTCCCAGCTCCAGTGTAAGAACCTGAGACCTGGAGCAGGGAGCATTCCCAGTGACCTGACCACCTAGGAAGTCAGTACTGTTTCTTCAAGTTCATTCCTGGGGGATGCTTCTGCAAGGTCTGGATGCAAGATATCTATTGTACTATGATGTTGAGTCTATCCACAGACCTGCTCCCCTAATAACGGGCATTTGCTGCCTCAAATGTTCTCTTAAAATTCATCTTTGAGTCTTGAAACCTGGATTCAACTAAATTGTGTTTTTTGTTGTTGTAGTTAGAGTTTCTAAAAAGGTGACAGTTCAAAAAAAGTCATTTTTACGAATTTGAAATATTAACATTATAGGAAACATTTAAGAAACCTCTCTGGGGGGGCTGGGGTTGTGGCTCAGTGTAGAGCATTTGCCTAGTATGTGTGAGGCACAGGGTTCGGTTCTCAGCACCACATATAAAAAAATGAATAAAATAAAGGTCTATTAACTACTTAAAAATATTTAAAAAGAAGAAACCTCTCTGGAGAGTAGAAAATTTAGTATTTGTGTGCTTTTTTAAATTATAGAAACAAAAGCCTACAAGTTGCTGAAGAAGTCTACCCTTCAGGATAATACAAACCAAATTGAAGACAGATTTCCAAAGGCACATGCTTCTACATCACAATTTTCAGGTAAATAAGGGCAAATTTAGCACTCAAAGCCAGTGTCCAGAGGCCTAGGCAGCAACCAGTACTGGGTTGAAGGAAAGGTGGTCATTCTTTGAAGGTTTCTGGAACTTGCATTGTAACAGTTTGTCACTGGATCAAAATGAATAAGCACTTTTTCATCTTAGGGAAGTAGTCATTTAGAAGTCCTTCCTTCTTGATGTGCACTGACCCAGCATGGAAGTTCCCTCTACAGACCTTGGATTCTGCCTGCCATGTAGCTCGTCAGTAAACACCAGAGGAGATGCCCCAAATTCCTTCTCTTTTCTACATCTCCTAGTTCTTTAATCATCAAATGGGCAGAGTTGTGCTGGGCTGCCCTCACTAGAATGTTTGAGGTTTTTGAGTTCTTTTAACAAATAGACTAAAAATCTTGTTCCAAGCATGACAGCTGCTTAGCAGAAACACATAATCGGGAAGGTGACTCCACAAATATTTTTGGAAAGCATCTTTTGGTACCTAACTGTACAGGTGCAAAAGATGAATAAATTTGGCATAAGTTGTAGTCCCTTGGGTATGTATAAAAAAGTATGGTACTATTATTAATGTATTTATAAGTAAAATGATACTTTATAAATCAAACATCTTGAGATTCAATTCCCTCACTTCATAGCCCAAATTATATTGTATACTTTGTAAGACTCCAAACATTCCAGGTAGAATCACACAAGTGCAGCCAGGTGTCTGTTAATCCCAGCAGTTTGGGAGGTTGAGGCAGGAAGATCACAATTTTGAGGTCAGCCTCTACAACTTAGATTCTCAGCAACTGAGTAAGACCCTGTCCCAAAATAAAAAATAGAAATGGTTGGAGCTAGGTCGTAAAATGACAATGGGATCAATTTCCAGTGTGTATAGAAGAAGAGAGAAAGGAAGGAAGGTGGGTGGGCAGGCACAAGTGCTTCTGGTGGCGTTGGCCTTTGTTATACTTAGATAGGGCCTCTGGTTTTCATTTTTACATGTGGTCAGGAACTATCTTTTTACCCCTCTCTCCCTCTGATCCTGGGACCTTTTTGAGTTCCAATGGGAAGCAGAAGGCCAGTTGGAAGGGTAAAGGGGAACTTCACAGCACTGTTATAGGTAGTGGTGTAAATGTGCTTTGAACATAGATCTTACCTCCAAATCTAACTGTGAAGAAGCAGTTCATTTTTCAGTTACTTTCTGAATCAGATATTTTAGGTCTCTGTCCCTGGACCTGTCACTATGGAAAGCCACTTAAACCTGGAGCCTCAGTTTTCATTTCTAAAAGTCCTTCTCCTGCTAATCATGTTGGAGACTCTGTTGAGCCTTAGTGTGAACATATGGTTCAGAGAAATGCTTTGCTGCTGAGGTTACATGAAGGCGAACAGGTTACAGATTAGAAACTCAGTAAATCCTTTGCTAAGATGCCCATGCACTATCTATTTGAGATCTTAGGTGACTACCAACTAAGAACCAGATGTAGCAGAAATATCCAAGGCTGAAGGCACCCAGGAAGCAGTGATCAGAGAAGCTGGGAGCAGTGGATACAGTTCAGTTCCTTCAGCCCTAGGCAAAGAGGTGGATTGTGTATCTTCTTCCTCCACCTTTTCAGACTGGGAAGAGTGGCATTGATGGTATTTCAGTGCAGATTTATTTTCCTCTGTGGGGTGAAAAATAGAGGATTTGGTAGAGGGGCTTAAAAGTAGATGGGGTAGGTAACTATCACCAGGATTGTCGATTATTTCTGAGCCCCAGCTTCCAGCACCTGATACTTTGGTGAGTTGTCACTGCCTGTTTGTCATAACAATTTGAATTATCCAATACTCCATCCCATAGTCGAGACTTATGTGCGTATTATCAACATGCATCTTTGTCATTTAAAATAGGGTTCTTTGGGTGGTTTTATTTTTTACATTTTTACATTTTGCGGCTTCTGTTTGAGTGTCACAAGGAAACCCCCTCATTTCTTTTCAGTATGTTTGCAACATTTCAGTCTGCCTCAGAAGCTCCCATGACTTCTTTGGCTTGAACATCTTTCTCTGTTGGTGTTTGTTTTACCAAAGTTAGTGGGAGGCCGCTCATCATTCATTTGTTCCGTTGCTGCACAGAAGCTAAGGCTCGCTCTCCATGTTTTGTGCTTACCACAGGTTTGAATATTGGCAGCAGTACACTCAAGACAAAGACAACTCACAAAATCCCTTCGGAAGCTAGTTTTTCATCTAGCGAAGGAAGTCCTTTGTCAAGGTAAAGTCGTGAAAGCCTCTTTGAATAGCAGCAACAAGATGAGAAATGTCACCATACAATGAATTAAACTGTGGCCACATATTATTTTGTTGTGTGACTTGATGGAGGGTGATGGTTTGGGTTTTTGTTTATCTAAAATAACAGTTGAAACTTTAGTCTACCTTTGAAAATATTTGCACCAGAGCCAAGTATTGTTTTGCAGCTGTTGTTTCCTTGGTTTAAGACTCAATTGACACCTCAGTGAACCACAAATTAGCGTCTACAGCTGCTCTCAGTAGGACTGCTTAGAGACCACACAATGGAGTTTGTCAGAAAAAGGGCAGAGAGAAAACATCAGGCCTTAAAAGAAATAAAGTGGCATTTTTCTTCTTTCTGAGACCACTGATACATAACCTAGCAAATGTTGGATATTAGGTTTTGTATTCTTCTTTTATGTCAAGTATTTAGGCTACAGTATTCTTTCCTTTTCTGGCACTTTCTTATTTTACTTAAAGAACACAKTTTTTTTTCTCACATTTGATAAACAGTGAAACTTCTTGTGTAAATTTTTGAACTACAGTAAGTGAGTCGTATGCTGAATTTGTCATCAGGATAAAATACTAATCATTCAGTGGCTTCAAGTCTTAAAAAGAATTTATAGATGGGAATGTAAGCAACTATCTGTTGAAATGCCTACCCTTTTGCTTTGGGCTAAATATCATTTAAAACAGCATAGCAAGTTTCTTTTGTAATAGCATCGGTCATTAAAAAGATGTCCTTTAGATGATTGCTTTACATTTGAATTTACTACTTGACCCTGGTGAAGTTCTAAAACAGGAACTTTACATTTCTAATGTTATGTCCCATAATATAAAATGATCTGATCCAGAAATGTCCTATTAAAATGAACTGAAAATGAAAAGAATCTTTCTTTTATTTATATTTTGTAAAAAACATTATAATATTTTAGGACTTGGAATATAATAAAATGAGGTAGGTTTTCTAAAAGTCTTGCTTTTTAAACTTGACAAGCATCTAGATTGCTCATTTAATTATCAGAAATTATTGTCTTTATATTCAAGTTTTTATCCATATTGTTAAAGAAAGTGGGAGATAACTGGGTCAGGTAGAGTCTTAAAGTATTATATTATTATGATTATATCATAAATTCAAGTTGTTAAAGGACAATAAATTTACAGATAGTTTTCAGGGTTTAATGTTACAGTTTGGCTTAATAATATACCCCTGTAGTTTTAAGATTATTAGAAGTATTTTTCATTACATTTTTTTAGATATACATGTGTATATATATATATAATTTTTATTAATATTACTTTGTATTTTTCCTCACAATTTTTTAACTAGGTATCATTATTTTTAACATGAATATAGAAGCAATGCAAAGAGCTCCACCTTTTTAAATGATATTTTTTGATCACATAGAATTTGCATATCATTTGGGGAAACTTAATATCTTAATGACACTGAAATTACCAAGAACATGAGATTGCTATTCCTTTATTTAAGTCTATATTGGTGATTTTCAGAGACATTTTTCCTCAAATAGGTTTGGTACATATGTATTTTTTTTCTCCATTACATTTTAAAGACACTAAAACAATTCTTTTTAAACTTACTTTATATATGATCTTTGGGTAGTTTTTAATACATTCAAAAGCAATTGGGTTTTGCAGAACATTTTATCAGCTTGAAAATTTCACATCATGTCTATATTTCACCAACTAAAATTGAACTTTTTTTGTTCCTCAAATTAAGTCAGGGACCTTTTCTTATTACTATTGCTTCTTTATGAAAATGAATTACAAGTAATCTTATGACCTTTAAGAAAAAAAAAAAAACCTCAAAAAGATCTTCAAGGAACCCTTGGTTTTAGACACTTGATAATAATCCAGTGATGAAAAGACCTGGCCTTCGAGTGCCTGGGTTTGGTGTGCTGTTTGTCACAGTTTGGTTCTTGTGCCGGGTTTGGTATTGTTAATACCCCACCCTGGGCTTTGGAGAGCTCTGGTTTTGCTGTTTGTGCCTGGCTTCACTGAAATTTCTTAGAGGCTTACATTTAAGGATCCCACTTACTGCAGTCACTCCTTGTGCTTTATTGCTTTTACAAGTGGTCTCGAAACCCAGTACTTGAGAATAAACATAACAGTGCAGCGCTGCTGTAGCACTTTTAAAAATTCTTCTTTGCTCTATTTTGTCAGTGAGCTGATGAGCGACCTCAAAAAAAAAAAAGGCCCCGCTGGACCTAAAAAAAAAAAAAAAAAAAGGCTTCCTCTGATGTCCTAGAGACAATAATTATGATGTGCTAGTTAAGCCCAAACTACAGCTGAGGGATTTTACTTTAAAGCAGCGGCTTGGGCGCAAAAATGCATTTATAGCTCTTTGTCTGCACCTCATTATGTGTGGGCCTGATTCATTAAGTAATTGGTTTGCAGTTGTTTACATGAGTATTAAGGCCTTCTTTTCAGCCGCCTTTGAGAGATACATTGTGCAAATGTTGCCTGTGATGAATGCAGAATGAAGGCCAGAGGGTCCGTCCTATTGGCTAAACAGTGCACTCTGTTGAAAAGCCAGAGAAAGGGATTGGGTGCTGCTTTGCATAGCAATGACTTTCTTAATAAGCGTTACAGATTAATACACACAAGCTATAAAAGATGCAAAGAGATACTCTTAGCACATTTATACATGCTCATTTCATTGTGATGGTGGTGGGGTCTGGGTGCTTTCATATTCCGTTTTTCAGAGCAACGGCTTCAGTGCATGAGCCGTAATAGAATCCGATGTTTATTGTATTATAAATCACTGGCAAGTAGGCAGATCGGCAACAGTTTATTATTAAAGATTCTTTCAGTGTAAATCTTTTTCTACCATTGTATTTGCTTTAGCAAAATCATTTTGTGGTTGAGTGGGGATGAAAGGCATAATGTACGAAGGAGTGAGTCCTAATAGGAAGCCGTTCTCCAAGTAAAGACCACTTGTTCCCTTTTGTTCAGGGGTGCATGCCAGAGCTTCCTCTCTTCTGCAAACATTGTCTCGCTTTACCTTCCCCAGGAAGCCGTTTTCACTCTCCCTGATCCATTTATTCAATGGAGAGTATATCTTAAACGACTGCCTTGTAACTTCAGCTTACTGGTTCCTGCCTTGTAACTTCAGCTTACTGGTTGGTTGGAGATGCCAGGTTTTGCCAAAAGAACCAAGGGGTGTGTGCTTGCAACATAATTTCCTGGAGGAAAGGTAGCAGAAGTCACCCAGCCAATGCACACTGATAGGGCCGCTGTGGGTGGCATTCCGTGCCAGCCATGCAGCAATAGGAGCGACCAGTGGGGGGCGCCAGCCTGCTGCTGATGCTCTGATGGGGGCCCTGGATTCCTTTTGCCTGGTCACTGTGCTGTTTTCCCTGGGATATTATAAAGATTACAAAGAACCAAATTGTCCAGTGAAATAAAAATGAGTTTTTCCTGGAAGTTCTTTAGTTTATCTTATAAAAGTGCCCATCTCCATCTCTGGCTTAGCAAATCTGCATTCTCTTTAAATTCTACTGAATTAGCAGCTTCCAAAATATTTCACATTTCTTATCATAAGCCCGTCCATATACTTTGATTTTTATTTAATACACAGAGCAATTCTGTAATATGAACAGTACACTCATTATTTGAAGGGAAGAAGTTAACAAGTTGTCCCCAGGCAGCTGAAAAATGGTATCTGTTGTAGGATCCTCAATTAACCATCAGGGGGCACTCAGACTTTGTCAAATCAAAACAGCCTCCAATTTGAATGGATCTTTAAAACTTAAAATTAGTATTTACAGATTGATTGGCTTTGTCATTGGACTTTTTTCTTTCTGGATTATTTTCTTCTATCTTTTTAGAAACCTATGTCTGCTTTAGGAAAATTCCAACTAAAGATGCTATTAAAGGAATTTAATATTGATTTCAGCTAACAGTCAAAATCATAAAATTTTTAGAATTCAAAACCTAGAGACCGGGGCTGGAGATGTGGCTCAGCGGTAGCGCGCTCGCCTGGCATGCGTGCGGCCCGGGTTCGATCCTCAGCACCACATACCAACAAAGATGTTGTGTCCGCTGARAACTAAAAAATAAATATTAAAAATTCTCTCTCTCTCTCTCTCTCTCTCTCTCTCTCTCTCTCTCTCCTGTCTCACTCTCTCTTTAAAAAAAAAAAAACCCTAGAGACCACAACTTGAGTTAATTATTTTCAATCATCATTATACTAAGTCCCTAGAACTAGAAGGACACTACTTGGAGCCATTCCTTGTCCCCAGCACCAAACTATAGACTGTGCTCTTAGCAGAACCCCTCAATTTCATCTCCAAATTTAACTGACATGTCCTCAAAGTGACAGTAATTTGGATATGTTTGTTAATAAACTTTGGATATATTTTTCTGTTACCAAAAAAAAGAGATACTGTCCATGCAGTTGAGAGTCAATGTGTTATTAACAGGACATCCCCAAGATGTGCTGTTCTTCAAATTTCTCCTTCCCTGAGAGCCAGGAACAAGAATCTGAGTCCCCAACCCAATATCTTCACCTCTGTTGCTGCCTATCTTTCAGAAGGCCCTTGTCACCTGCACCCCCTCTAGCACAGAGAAGCTATACACAGTGTGCCCTTGCCAGCCTATCTCCTATGTCCCCTGCTCCCAGAATATCCTTCACAGCACCAGGCTACGTGTCATACCCTGAAACAACATGCTGTTCCATGTCCATGTCTTTTACACCTGTTCTCTTGCTGGAATGCTCTTCACCTGGTTTCGTTCAGCCTTCTTAAAGTTTCCTGAGCAAAGGATCTGGCTGTACAGGATGCCCCTCCTGTGGCCCCTGGGGCTGTTCCTATCATAATCTAACACAGGCACCTTCTACTCCCTACCCCCTGTGTAAGCTTTCCTTTGGGGTGGCAGGTTTCTCAATCTCAAGCACTGAATAATAGTTGAATTTCCTGAGTGAGTGAGCATCAATATAGAGTTTCACCATTTACTGAAGTGTTA